TACCATTAGGGCTGCAGGGGAAGGGGTGCATAGGAAGAGCCCGGGGTTCGGTTTTCGGGGTTCGGGGAAAGCGGCGGAATTGCCGGAGCTTGCGAGCGTGCCTTTTATTTGACTGTAGCTCCCAGAAGCCTGGCTGGGGGCTTCTGGGAAATGTAGTCCAAGAAAGGAACTTTTTGGAACTGTAGTCCCAAAAAAGGAATTTTTGCAAACTCTGTAGGGAGGGCAGAAATGTCAAAGGGGGGGGGAGAGAGGCAGATGCGGGGGGGCGAGTTAGAGGGAAAGGTTGGCGGTGCCTCCCTTGCTGGGCAAGCCTGGTGAGGATCGGGCGACCCCCCTCGCGACTCCACCCGGTGGGGGGCGGGTGCAAAAAGCCAGGGACCGATTAACCCCCCCACACACACACACACACCCGGGGGGGGGGCAGTTGCTGCACGCGCCGACCCTGAAAGTCACGAGCCAGGAGCCCCCATCTCTCACCCGCTGAGATTTGCAATGTGATCCACCTTCCTAGCAGTTCCCTTGCGTGCCCAAGTGTTTGCACGAGACCCTTCGGTCGGTCATCCCTAACAACAGCCAGACAAGGTAGCCTTGCTTCATACACCCTTTGCTCTTGCAGGGGTGCGGGAGGAACTGGAGGCAGAGGAGTGGGAACTCCCTCTGCCCTCAATCGAACTACATTACCTGCGTTAAAAAAAACCCTCCTTATTAAGTTATGCAGGGAGCAAGCGAGTAAAGAATCAGGAGGAATCGACTGACCTCTCTCAGACCCACGAAGACAGTCAATCAAGGAGTCCTTTGTCCTTCCGAGAAAAATGGATCCTCGGGGCTATAACACTGAGGACTAGAAGCTTGGCGTTGAGACAAGTCACAGCCAGGCTTGCTTCCTTTCCTGAGGCTTGGTCCGATCTGTTCCCTCTTTGCGCCTGATGCCTGTGGCATTTTTCTCCCCTTCAGGCTGAACATCGATGGATTGCTGGTTTATTTCCCCTACGATTACATCTACCCCGAACAGTATTCGTACATGCTGGAGCTCAAGAGGACGTTAGATGCCAAGGTTGGGACTGTGCCGGGACTGACTCGACATGCGATCCCGGGCTCTAGACGCCTTTGTTTTTATTCCCGCCGGGTCGTGGGATGGAAAGAGAAGAGGGGCCTAGAGCTGCAAGCCTTAGGGGGTTGCTTTATGTGTCCTTCCTCTTTCCCTCCTAGGGCCATGGGGTGCTGGAGATGCCTTCGGGTACCGGGAAGACCATCTCCCTCTTGTCGCTCATCGTGGCCTACCAGCGAGTGAGTCTGCCTTGGCTAGGGACTCGGGGGGCGCCCGTCTCCCGACCTCGTGCCCTCTTGAGTGTGTCCGGTTGCCGTCTCAGGGAAGCCACTGGCCAGCGTGGCTGAGAAGACCCACCCTGGAAAGACTAGCATTCTCTGTGTTGCTCTCAGATTGCCCCACCACCACCTCCCACCTCCACCTGTACGGTCAGGGTAATATGAGCAGTGTTAGTGTAAGAATCACAGGAAAGATAGGAAGTGCTTTGGATGTGCAACAGTGCTCGCAAAATCCCAAGTCTGGCATTGCTTAAAAGCTGCCTGTCCAGCACCTTGTCTTTTAATTTCAAAGTAATTGCATGAAAAAGTGCAGATCTGTTCACAGCTTTGAAACCATTGACTCGCCTTATTTGTGTACCCACAATCTTCTGTCTGTAAACTCTGCACCGTGAAATAATGTACATTTCCTAAAGTATCCATTGCAGATGGGGAAAAAAACCCATGAATAATATCCATTTGTTCAAAATCCTGACACCGTCCTTTTAAAACTTTGTCTTATAGGAAGGGGCTGGTGGTCAGCTGTGCTTCTTCCTATCATCAGTTTAATGGGAAGATGCAGAACTCTTTTAAAGAAAGAAAATTGCTTTAAATGTGATGTCTTTAATTTGCTTTAACTCTACATTTTAAAGAAAAGCCTGCAAGATACCTCAATAGAAAACAAAGCATTTAAAAAAACCCCTATAATGTAGGTTGCATGAAAGTGCATCCACAGAGTGCAGAATTTGCAGAGGGCCATGTGGGGCTGCTTTCGTGGGTCCCTTCCAGCTGAGCGTCACCCCCCAACCCACAGGAGTTGAATCCAAGCCAACCCAACGGTCTTTCTGCCCACCAGGCTCACCCTCTGGAGGTTTCCAAGCTTATCTACTGCTCCAGAACGGTGCCGGAGATTGAAAAGGTAAGAG